AATGGACCTGTGTAAGCTGCTGGCAGCAGCGGCACATGTGTCCACAGAGAGGGCTCCGAGTGCTGCCTCTGGCACACGTGCCATAGGTTCGCCACCAATGGTATAGGGTTTCCTGCCTGAGCAGGGGGTTGGACTAGATGACCTCCGAGGTCCTTTCCAACGTTTATTATTATTATTATTATTATTATTATTATTATTATTATTATTATTATTATTATTATTATCATCATCATCATCATCATCATCATCATCATCATCATCACAAAGGTACAAGATGACAATAAATAACACTTTGGAAAGTGTAGCATGGCTCTACGCCGAGTAGATGGGAAAACCACGTTTTGACTTTTCAGCACATCTCTAGGAAATGTTATGAAAGCAGGAAAGTTTGTTGCACATTTTCTGCTTTAGAAAAAGCGACTAGACTTGAATTACAATAGATATGTGTCACACATTTGAAGGTTGATAGATGGACTTGTTATTAATAGCAATTTACAGAGGTAAAGTCTATGTGACTTTACTGGATAGGCCAACATTGAACAAGGAATGAAACAAAAATGAGTTATTCTTTGACTGCTCAATGGGTTCATGGATCCTAAATGCCTAAGAGACATTTGTAACAAAAGGCAAGGTAAGTTTTGAGGGGAAAAACAAACGTGTGTCCATTTTTTACACAAACAGTGAAGTGAGAACCTGAGTAATTTGTAAGGGACGTTCAATACACCTTTATAATGAGGAATTAATGTACCAAAACCAAGGCAATTGCATTTATTTTATTTAGCGCATGGCATCTACAGAGGTCGTGCAATCACTGATATACTGTACAAACACAAGTTTAAATAAAGCACATATATAGCTATGTGAACAATACATGAGATAAAATATTAAGATAAAACCATAACAAAATCACCATAATGTGGCACAATGGGACAGATGTTATAATTTAGATCATAAGATGTTATAATAGAAGGCAATTGCAATAAGCATAAACATAAATGTTTAACTATTGCAGTGGTTCTCAACCTGTGGGTCGGGACCCCATTTGGGGTCGATCGACCATTTCACAGGGGTCGCCAAACAAGGCTGTCCGCCATTTTTTTTGTCCGCCATTTTTTCCCCCCTTTTCCGGTGGGTGCCTTACCTCCCTTGGGCTGGGCCAGCTGGTGGTCGGCCTGCTCCGTCTCTGCCGCTTGCCAGCTACGCCTCGGCTGGCGCAGGGGGCGGAACCACGCATGCGCGGCGCTCCCGAGCAGGGAAAGTCCTCGTCTTACGACCGGTTGGGTAGTCCTCAACTTACGACCCGTTTAGTCCTCGACTTACGACCGGTTTAGTCCTCGACTTACGACCGGTTGGGGGTCGCGGCATTAAAAAGGTTGAGAACCACTGAACTATTGAAAATACTGTTTATTTATAAGGCTGCTTATCTACAGTCTGAAACTGGACAGTCCAGATTTATTATTCCAGCAAAATTACATTTTGGTATAACCCTATACTATACTATAAATTTTGGTATAACCTATGTACCATTCTGACATGGTATAGGCCGAGTCTCCTGCTTGTGCAGGGGGTTGGACTAGAGCAGGGCTTTTCAACCAGTGGTACGGGTATCACCTGTGGTACATTGGCACCTGGCAGGTGGTACGTGACCATCCTAGAAAAGTGGTAGCGGGGGAGGGGAATGAGCTGAACCGGTGGCAGCACCGCACAAGCCTGAGCAAGAGATGGCTGGAGCTGCAGGGCTGTCAGGGCTCAGCGAAAGCGCCAGGATCAATGCCGCTTTCCAGCTGATCGGCACTTCTTCGGGGTTGTCAGGGCTCAGTGGAAGCACCAGGATCAGCGCCAGGCTCCAACTATAGCTCGGTGCTGATCCTGGTGCTTCTGCTGAGCCCTGAAGAAGCACCAATCAGCTGGAAAGCGGCACTGATCCTAGTACTTCTGCTGAGCCCAGAGGAAGCGCCGATCAGCTGGAATGTTGCAGCATCTCCAGGGTCTTGTGATTTACATTCAGATGCTTGGCAACTGATTCATATTTATGACAGTCACGGTGTCCCAGGGTCATGTGAAGTGACCAAAACCTGCTGCAACCACCCAGCAGACGGGGAGGGGGGGAATAAAAACTGAACACCCTCCCACCCCACCCCCGCTGCCAATCCTCAACAGAAATGCTCAGAACAATGAAAACCTCAGACAGGAGGAAGAGCACCGCCGGGCGCTGTCTTGCTCGGCTGTGGCTTGGGGGGCACTTTTTTCAGTGCCATTGTAACTTCGAACAGTCACTAAGCAAACTGTTGTAAGTCGAGGACTACCTGTACTTTATCACTTCTTTCTCTCTTTTTTTGGTCATCACGTTTTTGACACCTTGCTAGGTGACTGGTGGTACTCGGATGTTGCCATATCCTAAAAGTGGTACAATGGGTGAAAAGGTTGAAAAGCCCTGTTCTAGTCTAGCCCCCTGCTGAAGCAGAACCTACATCACGGGTCAGCAACCCGTGACTCTCTCTCTCTCCCCCCCCCATCTTCTGCTCACCTGGCCAGCTGGCCTCACGCTCTTCTCCGACAAGCTGACACACCACGGACATTCTTATTGGGCTGGCTTTACACCAGCGCTCCTCTGGACGGGAACGACGCAGAGGATCAAAAATATCAAACGTGGCCGAAAAATAAAGTATTTATGCTCCTCCTGAGTTTATCTGTAACTCATAAAATAAACTTTCATTGGAAGCTGGGTCGTAGAAACAAAACCCTCAAGTTTTACAATGTACAATTTAAGAGAATCTACAGACTTTCCACAACTCTGAGACCTTTCTCATGTAAGAAGAGCAACAAAGATGATTAGGGGACTGGAGGCTAAAACATATAAGGAAAGGCTGCTGGAATTGGGTATGTCTAGTTTAATGAAGAGAAGGATGAGGGGGGACATGATAGCAGTGTTCCAATATCTCAGGGGCTGCCCCAAAGAAGAGGGAGTCAAGCTATTCTCCAAAGCGCCTGAAGGCAGGACAAGAAACAACGGATGGAAACTAATCAAGGAGAGAAGCAACCTAGAACTAAGGAGAAACTTCCTGACAGTTAGAACAATTAACCAGTGGAACCACCTGCCTCCAGAAGCGGTGAATGCTCCAACACTGGAAGTTTTTAAGAAGAGACTGGACAGCCATTTGTCCGAAATGGTATAGGGTTTCCTGCCTGAGCAGGGGGTTGGATTAGATGACCTCCAAGGTCCCTTCCAACTTTACTATTATTATTATTAAAGGAGCCCAGGGGGGGCACAGCGGTTATTAAAGTGCAGCATTGCAAGCAAAGTCTATCCAAATACTCCACTCAGAATGCCATTTGCACACATAGGTCCCCTGAGTATATAGCCTCACTCTCGTTGGCACCCCAAGATCTCCTGGTAAGATTCCTGTTTGCAAAATGATGGGGAGCACACATAATCAAAGAATCTTTTAAACATGCCTGGGGGGTGGGAAGAGTTTTGCCGTTCCCTTGAGCCTCAGATCCAGGAGCAATCCTCACACAGCAGTCGCTCAGCTCCCACTCTAAAGTTTGCAGGGCCACCAAAAGCTGCGCAGGTTCCTTCAGTTTTTACCCAGCAGAAGCCTCTGTGCATTTGCAGGTTGCGTACACACACCTCGGTTCCAATTTACATGAAAGCTGGGACATGACCGCTGAAGTAAAGACAAGGATAGAAAAAGCCCAAACAGCATTCTTCAAAATGAAAAAGGTCTTCTGCAGTCATGACATAAGCCTAAGACTGAAAATCAGGCTTGTCAGATGCTATATTTTTTTCTATCCTGCTCTATGGAGTAGAGAGCTGGTCTCTGACAGAAGGCCACCTGAAGAGACTAGAACAGCGGTTCTCAACCTATGGGTCGCGACCCCATTTGGGGTCGATCGACCATTTCACGGGGGTCGCCAAGCAAGGCTGTCCGCCATTTTCCCCCCCTTTTCCGGCGGGTGCCTTACCTCCCTTGAGCTGGGCCAGCTGGTGGTCGGCCTGCTCCGTCTCTGCCGCTTGCCAGCTACGCCTCGGCCGGCGCAGGGGGCGGAACCACGCATGCGCGGCGCTCCCGAGCAGGGAAAGTCCTCGACTTACGACCGGTTGGGTAGTCCTCGACTTACGACCGGTTTAGTCCTCGACTTACGACCGGTTTAGTCCTCGACTTACGACCGGTTGGGGGGTCGCGGCATTAAAAAGGTTGAGAACCACTGGACTAGAAGCATTTGAAATGTGGGATTTACAGGGCGGCTGTTACGTATAAGCTGGGTTGACAAGATCAGAAATGAGGAGGGGATAAGCCGCCTGGGAAAGCCAAGGGAAATCATCAAAACAATTTAAAAAAACGAAAATTAGAATATTTCGGACATGCGATGCGACACCCAGAAAAATACGGCACACTCCATTTAACCCTCCAGGGAAAGATTGAAGGCAAACGAGGTCCAGGCAGAAGAAGAACATCGTGGCTTCAAAATCTAAGGGACTGGTTTGGACAAAACTCAGCAGCACTTTTTTCTGCAGCTGCTGATAAAAACAGGATCGCCAACATGATCGCCATCGTCCGAGAACGGATATGGAGGAAGAAGGAAGAAAGAAGAAAGAAGAAAGAAGAAAGAAGAAGGAAGAAGGAAGAAGGAGAAGGAGAAGGAGAAGGAGAAGGAGAAGGAGAAGAAGAAGAAGAAGAAGAAGAAGAAGAAGAAGAAGAAGAAGAAGAAGAAGAAGAAGAAGAAGAAGAAGAAGAAGAAGAAGAAGAAGAAGAAGAAGAAGAAGAAGAAGAAGAAGAAGAAGAAGAAGAAGAAGAAGAAAGAAAGAAAGAAAGAAAACCCCTTCAGTGGGTCACCAACCGGCTTTTTCATCCTTCCAGTTGGGAGTAAAAGTTAAAAAAAAGCAGCCTTTCAAGACCCGAGCAAGCCAAGTACCGCAATTCCCTCCCTCGACAGCCGCGCGCCCAACCTCCATCCGGAGCAGGAACCGGTCGCCTTTCTGCGCCCCGCGGACGGCGATGGCGGCTTCCGTTCCCTTCTTTCCCCGCTTTGGCAACTCGGCCATGCCGGTTGGGAAGGATGGGAACTGGAGTCGGACCCATCTCTGGAAGGTCCCAGTGATGAGGTGGGGGGGGGGGAAAGGGCCTGGCGAAGCCGTTTCAGATGAGCCTCGGGCCTTCGGTCGAAGGGGGTGGGGGTGGGGAAGCGCCATTACCCCGCGCCTCTGGCTCCCCGGCTGGGAAACCCCCGCGGCTGGAAGGGAGGGAGGGAGGGAGACTGAAAGAAGGAAAGGGAAAACCGAAAGACCGAGAAAGAAAGCGAGAGACTGAAAGAAAGAAGGACCAANCTTGGCCCCTTTTTGGAGGGGGGGGCGCGCGAGGAGGGTGTTTCGCGCTCCTCAGCTCCCTTCGGTTTTTTTACGCGGCACGACCGGGTGGCATTTAGGGGTGGAGGGGTTGCTCCCTCCCCCTCAGAAATATGCCCCCCTCTTTTTTTGGGGGGTGGGACAAGGTTTTCCTCACCCACCACCCACCACCACCCCCTCCCCGCCTCTTCTCAGGTCTTGGTGTGTGGAGAGGACAATTCTTCTCCACCCCCCCCTCCAAAAAAGGGGAAATTATTTCCAGGCTCTTGGTGGATCCTCCCCTTCAGTCTCAGGGTCACTCTGGTGGCTTTATCGCCTTCCCTCCATCCCTGAAAAGATTGGTTGAAGTTAGGTCAGTGTCTCTTCTTCTTCCCCGTTCACATCTGTCCCTTTCCTGTTTTGAGATGTGGCAGGAAAGCCTGCTTTTTAGGGAACCCCCTGTTCCTGGCCCGGAGCCATTCAGACAGCTTTCCCTTCTCTAAATAATAAGCGGAGGCGGTCTGGAGAGCCAGATGGGTGGCCCGTAAATTTAATAAAGAAAAGAATCTCCCTGAGGAACAGCATCCTTTTTTTTTAGTGTGGATAACGGAACACGGAGTAAACCGAGTTGGAAGGGACCTTGGAGGTCTTCTAGTCCAACCCCCCGCTCAGGCAGGAGACCCTACACACCGTTTCAGACAAATGGTTGTCCAATCTGTTCTTAAAAACCTCCGGTGTTGGAGCAACCCACAACTTCTGGAGGCAGGTCATTCCAGGAGCAACCCACAACTTCTGGTGGCAGGTCGTTCCACTGGTTAATTGTTCTCCCTGTCAGGAAATTTCTCCTTAATTCTAGGTTGGTTCTCTCCTTGATTAGTTTACATCCGTTGCTTCTTATCCTGCCTTCAGTTGCTTTGGAGAATAGGTTGACCCCCTCTTGTTTGTGGTGACCGTTTAGGTATATTCAGCTCCTGCCCACATAACCTTTTGAAAGCATGCAAATGCTAGTAGATAGATAGGTACCACTTTACTGAGAAGGTAAACACCATTCTGTGCACTTTTGGCCACATAACCAAGGAAAATATCTTTGGACAACTCTCTAGGCCAAGAAACAAAGATGAGCACCATGCCCTAGGGTCAGACATGACTGACAGAGAAACCTTTAGCTTTTAGAGTTTCTTATGGACATGGGGCAAGGACTAGACCAGGGGTAGGCAACCTTGGCTCTTTTAT